CTCCTGGAAGATGTCATATATCTTCCATCCCCTTCCCTGGAATCACCTTAGGCATCCAGACACAAAACACCCTTTACCTATGTACCAAAGAGAAAACAAGATTACTAATGGTGCGCTATAATTTTTTTAAATTAAAAAGCAGTCACTGGACATGTAATTCTGAGCAGTTAAATTATTCCTTCCTTTGTAAATTCACAAAGCAATAGCATCTCACCTTTTCCAGACCTGTTCGCTGAGAAACTGTCATGCAACCTGCTGCTTTTTAAAATATGTTCACTTAACAAATTCAATGGCATGAGTTCCACAATGAACAACAAACAGACAGGGTGCATCTGAGAGGCACTGGACACTCATGAGGTGAGTAGCATGTCCATGACGTTTATAGCATTCAGATGGCATAATGGCTTGGATTTTTAACGTCTAGATATCTAGACATCACTTGGCTAGCACCATACCTGCCGGGGTTTCACAGCGCCTTTCAAATGAGGGCAGTTTGTCATAAAAAACATCATCTTCTGACACTACGGACCAAAGAAATATAAAGGGATGGAAAACAAAAACACAAATACAAATCCCAAATGAAATCAAGGTCACACATTACTGACTGAAACACAGGAATGATTTTAATGGAAAAAGAAAACAAAACCTAGGACACTGAGATTATGATTAGGATACAAAAAAGCGATGTGCTTGTTTCATGATGATGCTATGAGAAGAAACTGTAATTTAAAAAATGACAGGTTTTAGCATGTGAATTTGGCTGAACTCAGCTCCATAGAAGAAATCACACCCCCACCTTTTTAGGGAGTTGTTAAAGGTAGTATCATCAATAATTGACTTGTGCAAGTGTATTTCACTCAGATACAATTCTCAAGTGGCCAGACATATGTCCATCAACATAACCTCGTCACAGCTCAACAGAATTACCCAGCATGCACTTCCCCCCATGGGGAAAGAGAAGCTTTTAAGAAGACCATAAAAAAGCAACAGTATAAATCTGAGGTCAGTGAGAGAAGCATCCCATTTCACCTTCATCAATATCCAAATTCAATTTGCCTTGTACCTGTCTTTGGTAGTTGTGGACTGTTCATTTTGAAAAGCATTGCTGTAATTCCATCTTTGGCTATAGTGTGCAATTACGGCCAAATGTCTGTAAATTTGTCTCAACAGTTGCTCTGGACTCCAAGTGTTCCAGATCTTTGCCTATGGTCCCCCATCTCACCAACTAACAAATGCAGGTCAATTAGAGTATTATTCTATCTGATTAAAAAATAATACCCATAGATCTTAAGGATATTATTACAACTTCAATGGAAAATTGAGTAAAATTTGTACAAAGACCAGTAAGGGAGAATCCTTCCGACAATGTAGAGAAGATAAGGAAATGAATGAGGGTAGTAACACTATTCCATAAACAAGATTTCTTGGAAAATATCCTACTAGCTTGCTTCCTAGACTTAGGGAGTAAGGCAGGGAAACTCTTTGTCAATTCCTAAGGTCCTAGGATATCACCTGTTAATCAGTTTTTATTACACATGTGGCTTTCTTGGAGGCTAGAACAAGTTAATGCAACTCCTGTAAGGTGTCTAGGAGAGGAACAGGACAAATGAAACTGGCACTGAGGAGCACACTCCATAGTCACTAGAGAAAATAGGAAGCAAAACAGTCACATCACAGTAACTGAATGTAAAAACAGTGCCTTTTCATACCCAGGAGTGGGAAATGACGGAGGACATTCTTTTCTTTTGAAGAACTGATTTCCTTTTTACAATCTTGTTAAAATGAGGAGCCTCCAATAGCCATTTGTTCTTTGAGCTGAAGTTACAAAATAATATTTCATAAGGGTTGATTAGCATGCTGATGCTTTTTTTTTTATGGTGGTTGTAGACATTGAGGGCTTAGAATAAAACATCCTAAAAAAAATCAGAGAACTCAAAAAAGGAGTCATTGGATAACCCTGTGCTTGGTTTAAATAAGGGCAACACTCAAATGAAATATTAAAGAAAACATTTCCTTAAGGACTAACCATGGAGATAGCCTCAACTTCATTTAGGATGGGGAAGCCAGTACTAGAAACAAGCTTTTCCAAAAAAATAGCAGAAGAAAAAAGAAAAAGGTTAAAATTAAAGATGGGGATTTTTAATTGAGATCAAGAATATCCACCTCTAAATGCCTATTTTTCTTTTTGTGCAGGATAACTGGCATTAATACAGGTATTTTAAAAAGAAATCCAATTCAGAAGTGGCCTCCACTTTGGAGAGACAAAGGCTTGGAGGAAATACTGTAAGTTTCAGATGCTAAAATTAACACCCCAGTACTGCATACGGAGTTCTACATCCACACCTAAGGAAGCATCAGCATGCTTCCTTGTTGCCCATAAGTGATTACTTCTCTTTCATTCCAGATTCCTGGGATATTAAAGAGGCAGATACAAATGCACAATTAACAGTGAAGAAATATAATGAACAGTACATTTAACAGTGAAGAAAAATTATCTTTACTCTGTTTTTTTTTGCACTGGGGTCTGAAATGAAGATTCTGCAAGTATCTAAAAACAGTGACTATCATCCACAGAAATAAAAATGGATATTTACAATTAGAGATAATTCCCTGTTTATTTCTACCGCAAATATCTAGGAGTTTATTTCTTATAATAGAATAACTTTATATATTTTCCATATTCCCACAATATTAGATTTCTCCCAAAATCATACAGTGAAAGTCCTGTGATATTTTTCTGAGTACAAAAAGAGTTTACAGTATTGTCAGGTGTGACATCAGATTTACTGCTTTATAATATCGGATAGGGGCATGTTCTTATATGAACTGTCATGTAGGAAGGTTAAACCTGCTCCTAAAATTTTATTCCTTAAATTACATTAAACTTTGATTATTGGTTCTCACCACACTTGCCCCAATTTTGGCTCAAGTGTGACAGGAAATGTCAAAAACTATTGTGGTGGTGGGAGAGACTTCGGGGACTTTGCTGCTATAATATCTCCCTGGGCCATTTGACTTCATTAGGTTGACATTCCAAGACAGTCAGGAATAGCCAGTCCTTTGGTTCTGAACAGCCAAAGCATATCCTCTCCAAAAAGAGATAATCACCAAGACACAAGAAGCTACTGGGTGGCCAGTCATTTGACCATGTATTTATTTCAGTGAGAAGTGGCTGTCAGATGACCCATAGCAGCAGGAAATAAAGAACAGGAGAGTGAGGAATGTAGTGGGAAGATGAAAATAAAATGAAAAACAATAAAACCAAGCAGATTAACTCAGAGTGCTCCTCAGCAATGAAGCAATGTGACTATCCTCTCAGGTGGCTTTTTTATGACCCCCTCTGTGGTTCACCTTGAAAGAGTGCATACTAGATGTGTTCAGAACTAAAGTCACTGGCCAGAATTTGAGATTTCGGCAGCAGGGAGTATAAAAACACATTGTAGAAAGCATAGACACAGTTCAAATCTCCTGAGTGTGCAATTTTATCTGAATCTCAGTGAGTTGAAAGAACACGTTAGACAGTCATCTGAGGTCACTTGAGGTTTGTTTTCTGAGTGACAGCTTATTTTCACTTTCCTCTTTGATCAACCAGGAACGTCACATGGAGTGGGAGGGACAAATGATCTTGAGAAAAACAAGCAAACAACAAAAAACTAGAGCAGGAGTAGGGAAAATGGCTGTAACAGTCAAGAGTACAATGAGAGTTCAAAAATAAGGTTGGGCTGTTATAGAAAAAAACAAACAAACCAAAAGTTAGAAAGAAATGAACTAATAGGCATATAAAAATAGGAAGCCCCAATGTGCCCCAATTAATGACGCAGATAAAGAATACAGTTGGCTGTATATACCCATAATGGTAAATATCTGCCTTGTTACTGCACCAAATGAAATTGGACAGCTGGCTATATTTTCACCAAATTTGAAAGGGTTCTTTTGGACTGGTCTATATAGAGCATGTGATATAGTTGAACTTCTCTTTGGGGCCCCTAAGAGGTACACCTTAACTTATTCCACTGGAAAAGTAGGGAGGTTTTCCAGAAGAGCTTCAGGCTTTGATCAAGCTACTACTCACACGGGCAACTCTGTAGCGGGCTCTTGGTAAGTAGCAGGGATTTATTTAGCTTTGGTTAATGATTCTCCCAAGCAATGCAGAGTGGTCAGCTGGCTTATAATAATGGGAGGCTTGGAGGGGAGTTCTGACAATAAAGGAAGACAATGGGAAAACATGGAATGGGAAAGCCCCAGGTAAGAGACACCATGCGAACAGAAGATGCAGCAGGAGCCTACAGACGGTGAAGACCTTGAGAGGGAGACCAGCCTTGGGAAAAGGGAAGACGCTCCAGGCAATGTGAGGCATTTAAACCTGGGAAAACCATCCAGCTGAGCAGCCATTCTCAACTCTTCACTTTCATCACACCATAAGGAAAGAGACTCAAAGGCATTCACTAAAAATGCCAGCAATGATTTATTTCTCAGGGAACATTGACCACGTATCACTGAAAAGCACTAGAAAAACATGTCAAAAACTTTGCTCAAGTTCCACAATGCCAATGTGTATACCATCTGTCAACATAAGAACCAAAACTGATGTAGAAATGAAAGCTTCAAGAAAATAAAAGTTCTAAATTTTGTGATTTCTGAGGTGGTGCACAGTTGGAATTTAAATTAACATTCCCCCCTCAAAGGAGATAATTTAGATCATAAGAAATAATACCTAAATGACAGGATCTTATGAGACGATTTCTTCCTTTCTTTTATGAATAGTTCTGTATGGAATAGCATAAGATAACTCCTGCATAACACAGGTGTTAATGTTCTTTTATTTATATGCCTAGTTGAAGCACTTTGCCTCCTTTGCTGGGAAGGTAAAGAGTCAGATGATAGTAGCAAAACACACAGCAAAACAATTCTGACCAGAAACATAGGCCTCAGGGTTTCCAGGTCATAAATATAGCCAGTCAAAACCACCAATGGATTAAAAGAGAGGAGATAACGTTTACCAACTGTGGGAGTGGTGGCTGCACTCAGGGAATTGGTGGACGATATTGAAGAAGTGCTTTCAGCCCGCGCTAGGGGTGCTATTGGAGGAGGGCTGGAGGAATGGATGGGAGGGCTAAAAGGTCTGGGCTGCAGAGAGAAGAAAAGAGATGGAAAATTAGATACATAGGTCGTAGTACTTCCCTTCCATATTTTTCATGACTCCCAGTCCCAGCTATAACAACCCAGGTTTTTAAAAGTACGAGAGACACCATTTTTACACTGAAATTGATTATATTGACACTGGAGCTTGTAGATGGAGCTAGAGGAACCATAAACCACAAAGTGCTACACTCAATAGGTATGTGAGACTTAGAGAAGCTGAGACCTGTGATGTGGTCAGTGGTGTTTCAGGACTGTGAACTCACATGCTCTCAGGGACTAAGCAGGTAATATAATCTGAGAGCTTAAACACATGGAAAGACATCTGAATACAAAATGCTGTAGTGTGCTAGCTAAGCCAAATATTATGAACATCACCAGTTTATGGCTCCTGTGCATGGATTCCAAAGCAATTCACCTCCACTAGAAGTCTCTTTATTGTTCACACAGAATCTGTTCCATCCCTTAGCCTAAAACACAATGTAAGAAACTTCTAGAATAAACTCATTGGGCCACCCCTGCTTTATATCTACATAGGGTGCCTACCACCAATTAACTTCTCTACAGTCTAGAGACAGAAATCAGGACTTGCCCTCTCTTGGGGTCTTTGAAAAGCAAACATATATGGTGAAAAGAAACACTTCCCTTTCTAAAGATTTAGCACAACTGAGCATGACTGTCTTGATCTGCATCAAACCCACTGTAGCAAAACTGAGGGCCTCGCGTTCCTTTTCTTCCCATTGTAGACCCTGCCTTGAAGATGGTAGAGTTTGAGGAGGGTTGAGATGTACACCCATCCTGCAGCGACTGCCTTTCAGATGCCACCTGTCAGGGCCATTTGTACAAGTGACCTGAGGCTTTGACCCAAAGCAGAGATGGCCCGTGGGAAGGTTTTTCACTCCTGTTTGTCACGCTCACCATGAGTTTCTGAGCAAACCAGGGCATAAGGGAACATACCACATCTCCAACTCCAGGTTTTCCTGGAGGTAGCTTTGGCCGAGATGGAGGCCGGGGAGGAGGTGGTGGCGGGGTGGTGCTGCTGCAAGGGACCAAGGGAGTGGCTGGCCGAGCAGGGGACGATGCACCTGAAAAACAAGCTGGTGTTAAAAGGGGATGGAAACAGGTGGCCAAAGTGCTGTCATCACTTAATCTCTCCTTCCCCATTCCCACAGTGCAATGCCAGTCCCAGACACTTTTTTTTTCACTTCAGCCATTACTATATTCAACACTGTAGCAGGTGGTATTTTTTTTTTTAATACAGAAAAAAAAATCACTCAGTTGAACTGTGGTTGATGGCAGAAGCTGAAGCTCATTGCCTTTTGTTGTCATGTGACACCCAGTGAAAGGTAAATCTTTTACTTAGTGACAGAAAATACATATTTTAAGACTCTTTTGGATCGGTGGAGGGTAGCTTTCATTTTGACCACATACCCACCAAAAGTATGATAAATTCTTTTGCTTTTTGCGTATTCGGCATTTAGTTATGTCCTAGATGCAAATGAAAGTTAGAACTTGAAGGAAAATGAATGATTTTTCCACATTATTTAAACATGTATAAAAGAATTACCCTGTTTACAATGCTTCAAGATATGAGTGCTAACTTTAGAAATGTAAGCAAACACTTGTTGGTAAGCAAAGGAAAAAATGTAGGAAGGTACATTAGCTGTTGCATGAGAATTTTGTGTTTAGAAGCTTGACAGAAACACATGGAATTGAAAGGATTTTCTGTTTTGAAGGAGGCTGCTTAGGAATCTGGTCCACATAGAGTTTGTCCACAATGATTTTTGCGATGATTTTTAAAAGAGCCTCTTGGATTTACTTTTCTGGCTGTCAATGACAAACATGTGAAACACAGACGACACACAGAGGCGGGCATGCACACCAATCAGCACACCAGCAGGGTCTCGGACTCAGGGGTCTGCCTCTCATCACACATGTGTCTGGGATTAGTGGGTAAACTGCTTGGCTAAAACCCTTAAGAAAGTCAAACCAATATTCCAAATAGTTCTTGTTCAAAAACGTTGCAACTACTCCAGATGTCTTGTCACTTTGGTTAGAAGTACAGGTGTCAAATCATTACAAGAAAATTCTAAGAAATCCTGCCCCAGGAAAATACCCATCCCCCTCCCCACCTCCCTCCAATAAGCCACAAAACTCTGCTCCCTGGAGAATCCCAGACCAGCATCTCCCTCTCCAGATTTTCAGATTCTCAAAGAAGTTGAGCAACAAACTCATCATCTCAGCATCTGCTCTCATCTTAGGAGAGTCCCTGGGGGTTGACTTTGCTCCTCTTGTTTAAACGACCTGAAATCTTGAGCATGTTGTGTTTCTCTGTGCTGTTTATTCTAAGTAGAATTTCAGTAGTGGGAAATCCTACTAATAATTTTGATATCCCCATCCCTACACCCACCTCCTCTCTATCACTACCACCTTTTTACTATATTCTTACTTGTTATTTTATTGGGCCAGAGTCTATGTTAGCCATTATCTTATTTTTGTTTCCACAGTAAGCGTTAGAGGAAGGTCTTCTTACTGTTTCAATGGAAAGTAAAGCTCAGAGATATTCAGTAACTTGCTGAAGCTCACACAGCTCAAATGATCTATTTAACTCCAAAACTCAAGCTCAAATGCAATGTCTTGTAGCTTTAGGTGAACCGTGGAGTTCAACATCTTGCATAAATTAGCCTGGTCCTATTTTTGCATGGGCAGCTTGCACATACATCTCTCAATATGAATATTAATAGTCTTTTTGCTAATCTTCTCTTGAACAACAAAAAAAGGGTTATGTTTTGACAAGTCTCACTACAAGGTTTTCTTTCAAGTTAATAGATTTACGCCCAGGATGGTTGCAGAAAACAGAAGTGACAGCAAAGAGATGGGAAATTAGCTTTTAAACAGCTGGCTTTGTCAGGAAGTCCCCTGGGGCTTTTGGGGAGTTCTATTTTGCTGGAAAACCATGTACAGGAATGGCTCAAAATGTCTATTCATGGGTCTACTTCCAAGAAATAATGTTCTGAATCAATCTCAGAAAAGGTCAGCTACTTGCCCTTTTCCTACATGTTCCAGAAGGGAAATTTTAAAGACTACTTTCAATAATGCTTGGGAAAATGTAAAGGGATTATCATCAAGGCATATAGAATACTGAAAAAACTGGATGAAAAGACAGATTATCCGAGTTGGCCCTGCCTGCCTCTTATCAACCAGGGAATCTTGACCTCTCTGAATCTCAGCTTCCTGTTTTAAAAAATGAGACATGCTTCTCCCTTATAAGGTAGTTGCAACAATCAAAATGGAAAATGCTTATGAAAGTGTTTGCTAAACTATAAAATGCTATGAAAATGGAAGGCAATAGATGATGATGATGGTAAAGATGTGTCTTTTGATAAAGACAGAACTAAAAGCAAGGAAAGAAGAGACTATTAACTGTTTTTCTTTATGGACACTTTATTTAACTCACTTCTTTTCCCTCACTGGGTTGACTTAATTAGTTTGTTATGAAGTTGGAGGACACTGAGGGAGTGTTTAAGAACTCAACCCTATTTGACAGAACCCTGAGGATCAGGAGAGGATATTCAGGGCCTGAGGGGGTATTTCACAACTAAACTAAGGCTTCCCATGCCTTTGTGAGATTACACGATTGTTAGTATTATAAGAGCTAGAGGCTATCATTTATACATGTCTATCATTCTTGGATCTTCAATTATACTTTCATTTCCCCTTCAAGCAGTGTTTATTCCCAAGAACCATGCTGGAAAATAATAAGACAACATCTCCAGTTAAGGCTTAACTTTAAAAAAATCACATGTATATTATCTGAGTTTTGTGAGTTCAAAAATGTTGGCAACCATTGACATACTCTCAACCCATTTGCTGCTCTCAACCTGAAGTTCCATCATAGTTTCTCTGGTAACCCCTGAAAACAACACAATTATAGCTTCAACTTTCACCTCTCTGTGTGTGTCTAGGTGGGTGGGTGAGTGAGGGTGGCAGTGGGAGCACCGGGGAAGACATGGCAAATGGAATCCAATAGACCTGGGGTCAGATCCTGGCTCTGCTACTTATTAGCTTTGTGACTATGGCCAAGTTCCATCTTTGAGCTTCTGTTTCCTTTCTCTAAAATGAGGCGAATTCACCACAATACTGTGGGAAGAATCAAGTAAAATAAAGTACATGCATTTCAAAACATGTAAAAAACTAAACAGCCTTTTCCAATTGTGTTTCTTAGAACACAATTCCATCATGTATTTGAAGAAAGTATTAAATGTGTGTGGGAATGGTTACAAACTATGTTTCTTTTTCAGTGACCAGCACATTGTAAGTCCTAAAAACAGCCCTGTCCCATGGAGCTTTCTGCAATGATGGAAAATGTTCTAGAATGAGTGCTGTCCGATTAGATAGACATTAGTCACATGTGCCCATTGAGCACTTGAATTGTGCCTATTTCATCTAAAGAACTATTTTTCATTTTAATTAATTATAATTAAGATTAAAATAGCCACATGTGGCTAGTGGCTTCCATATGGAACACTGCTGCTCTAAAAAGACTTGTAATTAGGAAATATATTTGATTAATTCAAACCCAGGTACCCCAAACTCATTTGCTTATGGATGCGCATGTGTATGTATCTGTGTCTAACATCTTTTAATATTGCTTCAGTATCTCAAGTTGGAGAACGTTGCACAGAAGAACATTCTATCTTTACTAACACCTCTCTTTCCCTGGCCTCCACATTTGCTGCAGGCCAATGAGACTCTTTCTCCTCCCCATCCCCTGGCACACAACCAGACAGAAGAGAGAGCCTTTGCCAAGAATCAGAGTTTGCATTCCAGTAAAGCCATGTTCAAGCCAAGCTAGGTATTTTTAACTTTTGCCACAAGGAAATTAAACGTCTTGAAGTAAATCCTTAACTTCCAACTGTTTTTCAACAGCAGGTAACTCTTTTGATTTACAAAGCTGCCTTGTGAGGATTGCCTAAAATTGGTGGGTGACAGTTACCTTGCTTTGGATGAGATTTTTTTAAAGTGAGCATAATGGTATTCAATGAAACAAAGCAAGACCTAAGTGTTATCAAGAGCAGGGAGTTAAAAGCATCGCTACTTTTTAAAACATGAGGCCATATCCAGTTGTTGTAATCCTAAATTCACATTTCTGCCAGTCTGTGTATATTCCATCAATAAAACCTTAAGCAGCAAATAAACTGGGACTTAATTAAAGAGATAATGGTGCAAAGTTTCATTTATTCATGAGCTTCACTGGTTCAGTTCAAGCTTCCACTTAGAAATTCAATCCTTTAATACCAGCAAAGTATAGTTTTTTTTTCCAGCTCAATTATTAGGAATCAATAGATTTCACTGGCAGCATTTTCAAGTAATTAAAATAAGGGTATGGAAGCTAAACATTAAAAAAACAACAAAACTCCCATAGGTTCCAGAAAGAAAGACAAAGCTCCTCTCTCCACTGATTATACCAGTGGTCAATTCAATTACACAGACATCTTCCAGAGCCTGTGGAAGGTGGTGGAACAAAGCTTCCCTGTCTCTCCCCCGCCCCTCCAGAGCTTAGTGGCCTGCCCCTGGAGACAGGGCACTATTCCTTGAAAAGCCCTTTCAGAAGACTGAGAGCCTGGCCTAGGAAAGAGAGCCCATGAAAGACAACAGAAATGTGCCCCTCTTCGACAACAGAAGACCAACTTCTCTGGGTTTTGGTCTAAACTGAAGGCTTTATAGAGAAGTTGGGAGCTTATATCCCAGAAGAGACCTAAAAAAGCAACAGAGGATGAAGGTGGATGCTCTAACCTTCTAGAATTATAGAGACGAGCACTGAGGGGTACGTTTTGAGAGAATATTGGTGATCTTATTGATACAGTGCAGTACAGGTGGGTGTCAGTTATCAAGTAAGTTTGGGATACTTCGTAACTAAACCTTAGAAGAGTGCCTGTAGACAACAGTGGTTACAAATACTAGTTATGGATTAGACAAACCTGAGTATGAATCCCAAGACTATCATCTCTAGCTGAGGAAACGGGAAAATTACTGGATACCTCTGAGCCTCAGTTTTCCCATCTGTAAAGTGGGGGAAATAAGAGTACCTACCACAGGGGATTGTTGTGAGTATAAAATAATATGCACTTAGCATGGTGCCAGGACAAGAAATTATAGTTGTTGCTATTATTGGCAAAATAAAGGCTCTCAAAGGTCCTATGGTAAAAAAAATTTTAACAAAATCTGATTTTGTTTTGACACATGCTTTTCAGACTTATTTGAGTATTAAATAGTTTTCATTTTTTACACTTACAGAGGAACTTGCACACACAGAGCAAGCACTGAAAGGTACTCCAATGGAAGAGGCAGCAATGAGGACTATTAGAATAGAGACAAATGTCTTAACTAACTTAAACTTGGTGTCCTCTTTCAAAGCAAATGAAAAACAAATAGCACATGGCACCCCAGGAAGGTGCCTAAACCAAACCCACAGGCATGGGAGCGTCTTGCCAGGCAAAGGTGTGCACCAGTGGGATAAACAACATGGAAGAAGATGCTTAAGAAAAATATTGATCTTTCTTTGGTATGCATGGCAGGTTTTCCCATCTTTTCATAGTGATAAACCACAAAATAAAGCTTCAAATAAGAAAAAACCAAAAAACTCAGATTCAGTGTCAACATTTGCATATATTATTCTAAAACTTATGTTTCTGATGGCCTTTCCCATCACCTGTCACCACACTTAGAGTTGACAGGATAGGCTGATGAGCATGTCAAAATGAAACCAGAGACCACTTTGTCTTTAGTGGCAACTTGATTAGGTTGGGGATGTAGTGAGGTATCTTCTTTTTGCTGTCCCCTAAAATCTCATTTTCTAACTTTGTGTATTTTAAATAGCTTACAATTTTATTTGTCAATTATACCTCAATAAAGCTGAAAACAAAACAAACTAAAAACAAAACAAAATAAAACTAGGGCCGTTGTGGAGACATCTGACGAGGAAATTAGACATTTAACATAAAACTTACTGGCTATGAAATCTGTCTTTCTAGAACCTTCCTGAATTCCAAACAATGACATCATAGCTTTGCTTAAAAACATACACTCCCTAATTGCAGGGTGGGAGGCTGGGCAGAACACATCCACAGACTTGCACTATGACTGCGAGCATTCGATGGACTAGGACATGCCACGGGGCCACAGGACACCCGAACCAGAGGAGGGATGACGGAAGCTCTATAGGCAACTGCCAGGAAGGAAAGTGTTGCTCAGTCTGCAGCAGCCATGGCCATTCCCAGTCACATGAAGCACACTCAAACAGTAAGACGTACCACTGGTGGTCCCTGTACCACTGCCCGAGCCAGGTCCGGGGGACGAAACCACAGTTCTGTAGGTGGGTGGTGGTGGGGGAGGCGGAGTTGCTCTCTGTCCCAACCCAAAATCTTTAGGAGATGAGATTGTTTCTAAGTAATCATCTTTAATGAAGCTCTGCTCAGCGATTTTCTTCTGGACTTCTTCTAAATTGAGCGGCGATGGTACATTTCGAGGAGGACCAGGGGGCCCTGGAGGGCCTGGGGGGCCAGGGGGGCCTGGAGGACTTGGGGAGCCCAGAACTGGGGAGTCATCTGGGTTGTCTGATGCAGCTGGTGGAGATACCACCTTTTCCCTTGGAGTCAACTCTGGAGTAACACGTTCCGGGGACGTATCAGAAAAATGGACCCACTTTTCTTCAGCATTAACAGCAACAGACTTGGGGGACAACACTGGGCCAAAAATGCTGTCCAGGTCATTGATTGATGGTAGTTTTTCAATTTTGACCTCTGTGGCTGACTGGTCATTTCCTGTGGTTAAAGTAGTTGATTTTAAATTTTAATTGAGTTTAATATTATTTGTCAGGAGGGTGGGGTAGGAGGGGTGAGGCCAAGCCTGGTAAGTAGGTTGCCTTTCTAGGTGCTTCACTGGGCATATTTCATGATGTAAAAGTATCTTGATTGAGCTGAAGGGGAGGGGAGAGTTCCCTGCCTCCAGAATGTGTCATCTTTCTTTGTGATTATCTACCCTTCCGCAGGGTGACCCCCGTTAGCTACTTCTACCATCATCGAAAGAGCTGAGACTGCTGTGCTCTCAAGGGCTGCTCCCAAGAGTGCAGAGCGTGATCATTCTGAGGAGGCAGTGCTAGAGTCACCGAAAATACGGGTTTGGGGACTACAAATGCCAAAAGGGCGGTCCCTTGTGAAAATCTGGCCTACGGAAATACATGTAATACAGTAAAAAAAAAAAGATAGCTGAAAATCACCCTCATAATTAATGATCTACTCTAGCATATTGAATAAAAATGTTTGGTGAAACTAATTATAATATCTGTTAGTTAAAAAAAAAATAGCACATAATTAGCTGTATATCTTCCACCCTAAATATACCAGAAACACAGTACAAAGATTATTTAAAGGGCTATCTCCACATGTATATTATACACATATACATCCCACACACAACACACACATAGGTTATTGAGAAGACAGTCACTGCTTATTAGAATTGTTACATACATATATACCTATTTCACAGGGAAGAAAATTATGAAAACATCTGTATAATTCCTTTTTTCATCAAATCTAATTGGTTAACATCAAAGGCATGACTGTGATATCTATCTATCTATCTATCATCTATCTCTCTCTCTCTCTCTCTCTCTCTCTCTCTCTCTCTCTATCTAAAGTCCCAAGACAGAAAATTATGTTTTGATAAATATTAATATCAGCTATTCTTTTTCATTCTTATCAGTCATATGAGAAAAAAGTTCAAAACTACCTCCTAGATCTTGGCAGGAAAGATTTGATAACAATTGTAGTGTGAGGAAGTATACTTTTTTAAAAACTGAGGCTATTCAAATTAAAAATTGTTACCTAAATAATTGCAAGGCACAAGCAGAAGCAACCAGCTTAGTGCTTCCATATTTCACATTTGAAAGGAGTTCACATTCAAGGTTCCAAGGCTACAGATAAATGAGGCAGCAGTTTGCATAGCCCACAATATTTATAATTTCAGGTAGATTTATTTATATGTAACATATTTATGGAGATACAAGGGGCCAAAATGCTTTGCACTTGCAAACGCCTTTCCTGATGACACTCTGGATGACTTCCTGTTGGGTTTGAGTCAATATAAATTTTATAAATGACTATGTTTTGCATTTGTTCTTGTTGATAAATATCCCACTCTGTAGCTATCAAACCCACCAGGCTGCATAAATAGCAAAGGATGATGCATGAAGCTGCAATAGCATTCCCAAGGTGATAAAGAACACATTCTAAAGGCCCAAACACATAAAATAACTATTACTGCTTTTGTCTTCCTAGCCCAGTAAGACTAGGTAGATTATAAATTGAACATATAGCATTGATTTTAATAGAAGAACAAGGGTGCCTTAGAAATTGTCTGTCTAAAGGCATGCAGCACTTGCTTATTCTATTTCATCATCTTTGCACATCTTTTTGCCATGGGAAGCTAGGTACTTTTATGATTACTAAGAAAAAAATTCCCCACCGCCCGAGCTTACCAGTATGCTGCACATCCTGGGAACCATTTCATGTCTTTATAGACTAAACAGTTTTAATTCTGGCAAAAATGTTGTCTGTTCTTGGAAAATTAAAAGTTGTGTCTTGAGACTATTAATTTGCATATCATGAAAATGAGATCCAATGAAGCAACATGTCAATTAAACAATGACTTTCGACATTGAGATTTTTTTCTTTCATTTTACAAGTAAATGCGACCCTCATTCAGCAATAATATACAGAGGAAAAATTAGTTGAGAAAGTGAATCTTTTTGTGAAACTTGAGAGTGATTCTTTAAAATAAGCTCGATTCGTGATAGATTGTAACAGAAGTAAAACTAAACGCAAACATTTTCATGGTTAGTCTAGTCTACAGCTTGCAACACATGATGGGTACATCAAGGTCCGGGGATACTGCTCTGATTGCCACATCATCCTGGAACAGAAAGACTAAAGCTTACCTGGTCCAACTGTGAGGGGGGAGCCTGTTCGGGGTGGGGTGGCTGGTACATTTTTTGGAGGCAGTGGAGGAGGTGCTGCCAAGAGATGAGAAGCCAAGCATTATTGATTACTTTCTCCCTGAGTTACACAATATTCTGTAGCGAAGCAGGATTTAAGCTTTCATTCATATTCTTGCTCTCAGAAATGGAACAGCCATTAATGGTCTAAATATATTTTTAAAAATTCAAAGCTAAGGGATGATGCAGGACCCATTCAGATTCTTCCACTTTATGATAATAAAAATTTGCCAAAAGAATGTCAGATAATAACCATAATAATATTATCATTTTAATAATTCATTACTTTATGACAAACCTCCTATATCTGTACTAGGAACTAGGTACATAGGGTTGAATAAAAGGAGCCTCTGCCCTCAAGGAATTTCTGACTTAATCATTAGGCATCATGTTAACACAGTTACAATCCAGGGCGTGACCAAGGAAATGAGAACAGCTTGGGTGGGGACTCAGGTGAGAAGTTCTTAACATAGTCAGGATATTATATCCAGTCTTTGGAAATACTGGATCACGTGGCTTTATACGGATTAAGTCTGGAAAATTTTTCTAAGTTACATGTCTTAAATTTTAGTATATTTTTGAAAGTTTGAAGCAAAATGATTTGAATCAAAGAAGAATGAACACTTTACCTTGATAAAACTTACAGAAAAAAATACCCTGAAGATAGAAAAGGTATTGTGTTATGGCCCCAATCCTTCTGAACTAGACTTGTCATTTTGTAGGCAAAATTAGGAATTACTACTTCAACAGTACTTTTGTTTTTATCCTTTCTTTAAATGAATGTTTTCTTGTCATTGGCCATATTTGTTATATCGAAAGAGTTCATTCCACTGCGGTTCTAATCTTTTGAAAATACATCTTTGAAAGTTCAAGATTAAAAAGTGTTGTTGATATTTTTTTTCTGTTTTATAAAGGAAACTAGAGGCTCAGTGCACAGATTCGTGCACCACTGGGGTCCCTCAGCCTGGCCTGTGCCCTCTCACAATCTGGGACCCCTCAGGGGATGTTGGACTGCCAGTTTTGGCCCAACATCCCCCGAGGGATGTAGTAGTGCGCGAAACAGCAGGTGGCCGGGGAGGAGCCCAAGTCTGGGCCGGGCACCAGGCCACTCCCACACATACTGGCCCCTGCTATGCCTGCCACTGCTGCTGCTTGGTAGCACTGCCACTGAGGCTGGAAAGGTTCGTGCCGCTGCAGCTGCTCTTGCCAGCCGTGAGCCTGGCTTCTGGCACCCATGGATCAGCTGAGCAGTGTTCCCACTATGGGAGCATACTGACCACTGGGGGGCAGCTCCTGCATTGAGCGTCTGCCCCCTGGTGGTCAGTGAGCGTCATAGCTACCAGTCAAACGGTCGTTTGGTTGTTCAGTTGCTTAGGCTTTTATATATATAGATATTCTCGGAAAGATTGGATCACATGGCTTTATAGCAACATTTCCAACAAACAGCCTCTTGGGCCGTTGATTAGGAATCCCTTGATTAATTCCTATGATTATTTTTAGGCATCAAAAAGCAGAGCCCTGGGGATGCTGAACTGGAAAAAGTATTAATTGGTCTCTATGCGAACCTCACAGCGTAAAAATACCCTCTGCATCCTCCCACCATGCCCAAACACCTTTCTCTAAGATCCAATCTTCCTCCCATAGGATTTTTAAGGAGTGCTTTCCCCATGCACATCTGCTAAGATAAGTCCACTGAAATGAGAACTCAATAAATCCATCCGACAGGTGGCTTGACCTAATGAGCAATCCCTTCAGCCCCCAAAGCCCAACCCATTGCAGGCAAAGGGCTCTAAAGATCTTCAGGACCTGGAGTGGGGGTGGGGCATGCCGGAATAAGATGGGCTGATGGCCCTGCTTTGAGATAAATTTGCCCAGATCTCCTGTCTCGGCTTCTCTCTACCATATACCATCATTTCCCTTGCTCTCCAATTGTCATACTCTCCTCTCAATGTGGTCTTTCTATCCTATGCAGCCTCAGTTGTTCTGTAGGACTATCAGAAACCACACCTGACCCGGTGCTGTGTGACACCTCTGCGTTGTGTGATAGCCCAGGCCTGGAGCATGGTAGGTTCTTGGCTCACTTGCTTTTCACTCTTACATATGCACACTGAATGCATGACTAAATGAATGAATGAATAAGTGAGTCTGTGGAATGTCAGAAGAGACTATGATCCAAAGTTACTGATTTTACTTTATTTATGTTATTCCTGCCTTGACAACCTGCCTTGGCCCCTTTAACTCTAAAGCCTGTTAGAATAACATCTCTTCTGAATATTATACAGTCCAAATGTTGCTGACGTAGACTTTCTAAAAGTTGCCCAATTTCACTATGCAGACAGACAGTAAAATGAGTCACTTATTTTTCCAGACAGAGCAGGCACATAACTTACTTCCAGTGGGAAAAGGCCTTGTTAACTTTGGCGACTCCATGCTTGGATTAACTGGTTGGCCTGAACCCCATATCTCAGGCTGATCTAAAGGAACTGGAAATATAAAAAAATTTTCCAGGGTGAGTTTACAAAAGAAATGCCGCTATATTTTAGAATTTAACATTTCAATTTAAAGTTGAGCTTCACAAAATTACTTCCCTCCTGCCTCAGAATTAGCAAATTAATCTAGGAACATGCTGTTCCTCGTTCTTTTCAAGCAGAAAATGGAAACAGGAGTAGGGGGTGTGTTTTTGTATGTGTACAGGAGAGTGTATGTGTGTTTATATACAGCTAAGTAAAAACTGCATTTTCTTTCTGGTTGATCACTCGAGGACATTCTGAATATACTGGCTCAGTTTCTGGTACCCATTTGAAAATCCAGCCATTAATCCCACGGAAAGTTGCTTTAGTTGGGTTATTTAAAGTTTGCTAGGAATACCGGTATGTTTCAAAAATTAAAATGCCTGGGTTCTATACAGTGGTTTGTATCTTTAAAGAATCTTATAGGGTCTTTAAATAAACCTTTCATAGCATCATAGAAAGAAATTAAATGATCAAAAAATGGTAAATACTTAAGAGAACCAGAAAAATAAACAAGTGCTTACCAGTAGACATCTAAAATATATCAGAGCAATTAGGTATTGAATCTAAGGACACTGAATCTAAGATTTCTTCTACTCGTTTCGTCTTCTCCTTTTGATTTTTTTATTGCTATGGTAACAATGTAAATAACTAGCTCTTCCCAGCACCTATCATGTACCAGGGGCAATATAAGTACTGGTTGTAGTTCATTATGTTATGAAACACAAGCTGGAAAGTTAGTTGAATATGAATTTGAATGCAGCCTCCATATTTATTGTAGACCTTGGGCAAGTCATTTAACCTCTGAGCTTCCCTTCCTTTAGTGAAGACATAAAAGCAATCTCAGGGATTTATTTAAAGGATTGAAGGAGGATATAAACATAATGTATACAAGATGTATATAGATCACTTACCACAAGGCCCATAGCTATTACTATATATATTTAATCCTCAAAATACCGCCATGTGAAAAAAAATACCACCATGTGGTTGGTATTAGTACCATTTTCAGTAGAGGAAACCCAAAATTAGAGTGATTATATAACTTGCCCAAGAGCACACATGGTGAACACAGAGGAGCTTAGATCTGATCCCAGGCATGCATGCATGCCTGACTCCAAAATACATATACTTTCCCAGGCTTTTAAAACTAGTGATAGAAAAATCAATCAAAAAAGTGAGAGTGTGTATATATGACAGGTAAGTGTGGGTATTAGAAAAGCAAATGTGCTTGGTGCAAATGTTGGAACTTCACGGAATTTCTGGGGCCAAAACCACCTAAAGAGCATCAAGCCAGGCTCACTGACAAGTCCAGGGGTGAATCTCCTCTCCATCATAAACATCATAAATGGTCTTAGCTCTCTGTTTTGTTCTAACATAAAAGTAAACATTCTTTAAGGATGTAAAGCAGTATTTTCTTTGTATGGATTCAATGTCGAATACTACCTTGAATTTTAAGAACTGTTTTCTATTTTGTCTATCAGGTTTCGATATAGTTATGAAATTCTTTTAATAGGTAGATTTAAATGACACAAATCCAATCCCACCTTCAGTCACTACGTAATTATGTCCTTAAGAACAGATGATCACAGATAAGTTAATAAGAGACCTAAGTTGTAGACAAATCACTGAAAGAGTATTTAGGGATGCTTCTTATACATTTTCCTAACCAAATCACTGAAAAATGTTCAGATGTGGCTGACTGCTAGCTGTCTTCCAGCATTCTCTCAATTTCTTCATAGTTAAAGAGTTTTAGCTGGTCCTGTGGCACTAAATGATCTATCATGGGCTCTGGTTAGAAGTGATGTATGTCTCTTCCAGATTTTGCTCTTACAAGAATTGGCAGTGAGGTCCTTTGGCCCTTCCCGACCTTACTCCCCTTCTTCTGACTGGGAGATGATGGGAGCTGAAGCAGCCCTCTCAGACCCAGAGACGAATAGCAGAGCCAACCTACAGTCCTATGTTGTTTGAGACTGTTAACGTGAAAGGGAAATAAAATTCTATCTTGTTGAAGTCACTATATTTTGGCGCCTCTTTGTTACAGTAGCTTAGCCTACCTATTATGGTTTTAAGTCTTGTCCTTAACCCTTAAATATAATTTCCCTCACTAATGGATCCTAGAAAAATAATATTTTTTAATATATGTGGCATAGTGTTCTTAAATGATTTTTATAAGAGCATTTTATATTACCAAACACAGCTACTGGAGATCTGATGATACATTAAGAATATGCTTCAAAACACATATATTTACTTTAAGTAAGTTAATGAAAAGAAAAAAACAACTACAGATATATACATTTTTCCTACCTTCTGTCTTCTGTTCATCAAAAGCTGATTCTAATGGTGGGCCAAAGAGGGGAGCTAAGGCCATAGTGTCATCTGGAGGTTTTTTGCTAAATCACACACATTAAAGCAAAACATAAAGGGGATATTAATGCTGAAAAACACATACACGTTTTCACATATTTTTCACAGTAAGGCAGATGTATGTGTGCACTTGTGTCTGTATGTATGCATGTATGTAAGTTCCCATAGGTCTAGAAAGTATATGTAAGGATGTCAAATGTATTATGGACAAGGGAGTTGGTAGGAGATAAGATCCCTCAATGGGGGACCAAGGTGCCCTTTCAAATAATTTGAAGGAGAGAACCTCTACCTAGAACAGATAAGTTTATTGTAAAGTACCTTACTCTCTTAAGATCCCCAAAACCACCCCAGCTGGTTTGGCTCAGTGGATAGAGCCTTGGCCTGCGGACTGAAGGGTCCAGGATTCGATTCCAGTCAAGGGCACATGCCTGGGTCACAGGCTTGATCCCCAGTATGGGGCGTGCAGGAGGCAGCCAATCAATTCTTTCTCATCATTGATGTTTCTATCTCTCTCTCTCTCCCTCTCCTTTCCTCCCTGAAATCAATAAAAATATATTAAAAAACCAATAAAATAAAATGTTCCCAAAGCATACAGCTCTAAATGTAGAATATAGGATTCTTCTAATTTGAAAAAGAAAAAAGAAAAAAAGATCTCCACCCATTGATATTTGTCTTCGCCACATCTCTGTGTTATAGTTAATGCAGTTTATAATTAGCGAAAGTCAGGCCAGGGAGGCTAAGTGATAAGCCACCCAGGAAGTTTGTGTTTAAATAAGAAACTGGGCCTACCAGCTTCTAATTGCATCCATCCCTGCCTCCTACCCAATAGACTAGTTACAACCTCTTAATACCTTAAGATAGCACATCTCAGAAAGAGAAAAAGAGTATTGAGAAATCAGGGAGGAAAAGAGAGTAATAAGTTAAACTCTCATCCTTTTTCCCAATGATTACTTAAACTCATTATTAATGAAAGGTTGCATAATCTTCTCCATTTCTTCCCTAGATTAATCCTAATGAATTCTCTGTGTGGGTGGTGGGAGGTAAGAGGTGAAGGGGAGAAGGGAGGGGTTGGAGAAGGAGGGAAAATAAAAAGATTCATCTTTTAAATAGGAGTCTTTTTTGGAAAACAATGTCCATTTGTATAATACTTGCTCAATCCAATAAATACACAGTATAAAACACAATGTTTTGCCCCAAACAAAACAGAAGATTCTTTTGGTGTGTGGCAGGTAGAATGTATCATGAAATTGTACCTGACTAAACAGGCTATTCTTCGTAGAAAAATATAAACATACTAGAGGCCTGGTGCACGAAATTTATGCACGTGGGCGGGGGGCGTCCCTCAGCCTGGCCTACGCCCTCTAGCAGTCTGGGAGCCCTCAAGGGATGTCTGACTGATGGCTTAGGCCCTCTCCCTACTGGCTGAGCGGCGCCCTCCCTGTGGGAGTGCACTGACCACCAGGGGGCAGCTCCTGCATTGAGTGTCTGCCCCCTGGTGGTCAGTGCACATTGACCAGTCATTTCAACATTCGGTTAATTTGAATATTAGCCTTTTATTATATAGGATTTCAGCTTGGCATCCAGACCCCAAAGGACCTCTTCATACAAATTTTCAACCTTGCTATTAGTGAGGGGACTGCACATTCTGATAGATAGTTACTGTAGGTGACTATAGAGTACTTTCCTAAAGGTGTCTCTCAGGCTGCACTTATGAGAAATGATAACATATATGAATCACACTATGAACTTACACACATGGGCAGGTCTTTTTGTAAAAGGAGCTGAGTTTAGTCCAAATGAGATAGGCTACATTGTTAACAGTGGTGATGCCTTGCATGAAACACAACCAGCGTCTTTCACACTTACCTCATGAGTTCTGGTGTCGGCGTGGAACGCCTGGGTCTGGCCACTTCTTCACCTGATACACAGGACAAAGGAATTTTTAGGCATATTTTTCTCGCCATTCCTTACTTATCTGTCTTATGAGCTATGTTTGGAAACACTTAAAGAGTTAAGTCCCATCAATAAGCAACTCAACATGAAAGCTTTGCAAAACAAACCCACAAAACAAACCTTCTCCCCTGGCAATGCAACAGTCTTATATTAGGCATATGAGGTAGCATTTTCTCTGGCATTTGTAAAAACCTAATTAACCAAGGAATTACCACGCTAAGCCATCAAATAGAAGATTTGTATACTGCAGAGCTAGTGGAGTAGCATAACATTCTCTGAATGTCTGATGCCTTGATCAGGTCTGCTTCCCAATTATCATAAGAGAACATTAAGCCAGGCCGTATGTACATAGGACATGAATCCAGCATTCTCTGCCTGTTCTTTTCTTGAAATGCCAAGAAAATGTTATACCTTTAACCAGGAACCAGGAATTTAGAATTCCCTAGAATGTGTTGTATGCAGCAAAGGAAGATCACGCCCTATGTATATTATAACCTATTCCATGTCACCTTGGCTGACTAAAATTTTTATACCAAAATAACACAAGAATGGGTAAGTCGTATTTATCTTCAGTTCCTTCTGCCCCCTCTCCCCACCCTCATCACCAAGCACACACTTGATGAACTTCATTTCTAAAGTCAAATGATACAAGAGTTGAAAAATTCAGGAAGTAAATAAGCAAAGTTTTCCCCAAAACATATTCATTTTCAGAATTTAAACATTAATCATTCAGAACCCACTAAGCCCCTTTATCACAGCATTTCTTTGCTGTAAAAGGTATTTGTAAGTCTTAAAAACCAAGCCCAAAAGTATATAAGTCAAATGTATATATGCTTCAAGATCCAAGGAACTTATTCCTTCTTTTAAATTGTACTCTATTTTTGGTAGCTAAGATATACTTACTGGATAAGTTCCTTTTAATTGCACCCTAGAATTAGAAATAGACACTATAAGGTTTAAGACCACATATATGTTATGTACAATATGTATATTTCTGTTATTGCAATTAATCTGAACTCAAAGAAATCGATGGGGAAAAATGAAAATTTTCTCAGAATCACATTCAAGTTGGAAATTGTAGACACATTCATATAAATCAGTTTTCATTTTACTTAGGATTATAGAGAGAAAGGAAGGGTAAATTATAAGTCTCCCAAACCAGAAAAATCCCTTACCTGGGTAGATCTGGTAAATATTAAAGTAAATATAAAGTAAAAATTAAAGTAAATATTAAACAGTCTATTAAAAAACAACCCTGAAGTCTAGTAGACAAGAAAGTAAGTCCAAGTTTAAGTTACATTTGATGTTTGAAAATCATAGACTATATTAGGAGTACTGTCTGCTCTTATCACATGGGGGCCATAAACTAGTTGAAACAGTCATTAGTTTACTAATGCAGTTTTTAATGGATGTAAGTGGCAAATGTTATAGAGAAGGAAACCTTCGAAGCATTGCCACTGAATGGGCTGTTTTATGCAGGGAGCCAGGGAATTCCATCCTCCCCACTAGGTTGCCCCACCCCAATTTCTTCCACTTGCCTGCTACCTGGCCCACCAATCTACCACTGGGGGTCATTCCTTTAGTTCAAGGCATGTGATACTACTGGAATACAAACAGGCCTGACAGGAATACTAGTAATAGGCCCTAGCAGAAACTTATTTTGATAGCAGAAGGATTGATTAGATACAAAGATTTGATTCAAAACCACTATGAAAGGTTCTTAGCATGAGGTGCTTCCAGAAAAACAGACCACTGAAAGGGAGGCACCGTGGGTGGGGCGTGGCTTGGCAGGGCTGCCTGAGGAGAATGATGGGGCAGACAGAGCTGCATAAGAAAAGTGAAAGTATAGGAAAGTATTTCAAAGGGTATGACCATTAATTTGGTGGGTGGTCAACAAAGAGTTTTTCTACTTCCCTACATTGGTGAACTCTCAACCTAGTGGTAACATATTTTCTTATCTCAAATGACAACATCAATAACTCAGGACAAGACATAGCCCTATATGAAGCTTCTTCCCCTATTTTGTAAAGATTTTTCAGAATTGGGGTTTGTCTTATTTTCAACTCATTTATGATAGAAGAGCAGTTTCCATCTGAACAGGATCCACTAGATGTTTTGTAGTGGGTGGCCCAATCTCTCAAACTAGTTTCTGTCTTGTCCTGACTAATAACACAATCTGTGTGTGTGTCATATAGAGAATTATTATTTTGTTAGTAATAACTTTAAAAATAAATATTTTATGTTTAAAAATATTAATTTGTTTAAATAAATCTAATTATATACAATTATTTATTTTAATAAATGAATATATTTTATTAAATTAACATATTTATTTAAATTTATAAATAAACATTTAAATACATGTGGATATTTAAATCAGCTATAGTCATTATGGGAGTTTGGATACCGGTTGGCTTTTGGAAAATAAGACTGTATAGACAAAAATAACAAGAGAACAAATTGTTTAAATTAAAATGTTTTCCTAGGTAATGAAGCCTCAGCTGGTCCTATTTTTAATAACAAGGTCTGAAGGAAGAGACCCACAGGCTCTAAGTTCTAGAGACTCTAAGTTCTAGGGAATGGTTCCCCTCTAGTATTGTGAGACCTGAAATCCAGGAATTAGGGGGCCCTAAGGCTGTACTGAAGACCTTTCAGTCTACTTTACCCTTTTAATAAAAAATGTAATACTTATGAAAACAAGAAAGGTTCAACGCCTCTTTTGTATTCACCGATTCCTGGTGTATCAATTCATTCAACAGATATTTACTGTTGGGAGACCCTGAACAAGAAGCCCCTGTAACATTTTTATTAAATACTCCACATGAATAAACAATTGCCCATTAAATGCAGGCAAGACATGGTAGAAATATGCAAGAAAACGCTTGTTTAGAAATTTGGAAAGATAAAAATAAGATCAATTTAGAAAGGAACAGATATTTGAACAGCAAGTGAACAGCAACAGAAAAGAAAGTCCCATTGTCAGCTGGATGTGGCATACAGATTTTGATGGCCTTGATGTTGCAGCATGATAAATCCAAAGCTGGGTTACAGTGATGTTGACCACACAAACCACATTCAGGAAGAAAGCCCATTGAATTAAAAAACCTCACCAAATGACCACATTTTCAATGATTGCCCTTATATGTAGATTGTGAATGAATTTCCTTCATTTTGAATTAGTTAGTTCACTTTTTTTCTTTAAAGAAAAAGAGTAACTTGTCACAATCTGAGATGTCACCTGAGATCATCCATACTTGCAGGTGTTGCTTTCTTTGATACTCAGCCAAGTGGCTTAACCAACCAACCACCAGTTTCTCAACTGGGGCACAGTATTTGCCTTAAATAATAACTAATTGAATTGGCACAGACCTAGGGATATTTCAGATGGCATTGTTTTCAATTCCATTTCCTCTCTCAAGGGACTGGCCAGATAGAAGCATAGCAAAGACCCTTTTTTTTTGTTGCTTTGAATACATCACTCTTCAACCTGAGGAAAATGACTAAGATTTTACTTTGAACAATGTAAACTAAACTGATTTTTGTCTTCAGTGATGGCATATAGAATTATGTGACAGCCTAGGCATATCAACTTGAAAGCATGTCTCCTCCTCTAAGATGGAAACTGTGATTATACATTATTATGTATCAGTGTGCACTGGCCAATGCAACCTATTATAAATTCAGTCTTAAAAACCACATGGCTTAAAAATGGTTTCCTTTACTTTCCTTATAGTTTTCTTATTCTTCAAACTTATACACTTCTTATAAACTTCTATGATGCTTTCTGGCCAATCTCCAGGTCTTGCTCGTGTGCGCATGCATGTGGACGCACACACACACACACACACACACACACACACACACACACCCCACATTAGGAGTTGGGATACCTATGTATTAATTTAGTTTAATGTATTAATGGAGAAGTGCTCTTATAATCCTAAAATATGTTATTGACACTTTCAGGACCAGACACTTCCAACCAGTAAACTGAATTCATCTGCCTCATTCATACTGGGCTGTCATAAATTTGATGAGAAGTCAACTTGGCCATCTGGCCTTGGCAGCAATTTTCTTTATACATGTTTAAGATAAAAATGTTGAAAGTTCTTACCGGGCTGCGCCTCTGTGATCAGCAAAAAGGAAGAGAGAACAGACACCTAGTCAGAGAATGATGGATCAGTCAACAGGCTTGGGTAATAGAAGGCTTCATAAATAGCTAACGAAACATGCACTCCAAGTAATCAGGCCAAAGGAAGACAGGCAGTCATGGTGTTTGTGGCTCATTTAAAACATAAGAAAGTTTAGGAGAACTCTAAAGAGAATCTGTCCATTGTATAATATAGCTTTGCTCATGGGGATGTACTACTTTCAAGTTACAGGTACATAAGAACAAGGTGGAACATCTAAGACATTTTGTTAAGTTGTCATGGGAAGTTTTTCTCCAGATTATTTGGTGAGAGGGGTTTTAGAGAATAGGTAGTACAGGGAAAGCTGATTCCCCACACAACAGGGTGTTAACAAGCATTATAGGCAATGCATTTCCCACATAATTAGGGCATGAATTGGAGACTCCAAAAATCAGAGACCAGGATTAGAGATATCTCTTCTTAGCCTGGTTCTTTTCTTAGTGTTCTGTGGAATGTATGCCAATGAGGACCTTATTTTGCAAGTAGCCATTCTTGGCCTAGTGGTTTGGGCAGCCTCTACTAATGAGTAGGAATGTGATGGGAAAGATGAGGCACCCCTGCCAAGCACAGATGGGAAAATGAAATTGTTCAGCACCAATAAAACACGGGTAGACCAGCTGATGTCCAGAAAACACAATAAGCAGACATACTATTTATCTCTTTCATTCCTCAGACTTTGACTATTGCTATCAATTTACCTCAACAATCTTTGATAGTGCCCCCTCTTTAAAATTTTTCTGTAGTTACAAAGATGACTCTGAGGTGAGTGAGGAAAGAGTTGATGCTCAGAGTTTCACTTTCAGGATATGGGTTAACCCATGAATTTACCAGAGGCCACCTGGGACCCCATATTGGCCAAATCTCCAAATGTGGGCCAGGAGCACAAATATAAAAGTAACTAAGAAGGTTGTTCAAATGAATAGGATGGTTCTAATCTCCAGAACACATAGAGAAAATAAAAACCTATAATCTTTTAAATGTGGGAGGCCTCCCTGGCTATCCAGTCCAGCTGCCTTTATGATATAAAGAAGAAAGTGAGGCTGAGACACACAGCTAGCAAATGGGTAGAATCAGAGACAGAATTTCAGTCTATAAACTCTTCATTATCATGCTCTTTCTAGGACACCAAGTGTGACATTGTTGGAGAACTCCTAAAAAGCAAAGAGCCCTTGTGGCTTAATGTCCAGGAATGGTTACTTCTCAGATGAGTTTTTTAAATAGCCAGGAGTTTAGATATATTTACTCTAGTCAATTTCACTTATAAGAGTCTAGACTTTATTTTTTGCCTTACTTTCCAGGTACTGCTCCATGTTGATTCCATCTGTCTTATAAATCTATCTAAGGGCACGGATGAAATTTAAATAAAATTAGAAAAAAGGACACATGAATATGCATTTCTGGGCTTAAATTATTTTACTAATTCATACTATGTTTTGAGAGAAGTTCAAATACTATTTTATATAAAGATTTAGGCTTTATAATTCTTTTTTTAAAAAATATACTTTTTATTGATTTCAGAGAGGAAGGAAGAGGGAGAGAGATAGAAACATCTATGATGAGAATCACTGATCAGGTGCCTCCTGCACACCCCCACAGGGGATTGAGCCCACAACCCAGGCTTGTGCCCTTGACCGCAACTCGTTAGTCCCCAGGCTGACACTCTATCTACTGAGCCAAACCGCCTAGCAGTAGTCGGCAAACTGCGTCTCGGCAAACCGCGGCTCGTGAGCCACATTCG